ATAAATTTCTTGAAATTAGTAGGGATTAACTTGATGTTTTGGTGGTTGGATATGTGTTGATGATTGAATATGTATTAATTATTGTAGTGGTATGGTAAATTATGATAACGTTATGGTAAAATTAGAGTTTTAATCTAAATTTTTCGTTACGCCGTGCCTTCAGGTCACGGGCAATTACTAGTTTAATAATATCGCCTTACCTTTCAGAAAATTTGTTTTATTTTCTTTGTAAATTAAATCTTGTACAATGATTCTATTATAAAGAAACGATGTTGTACTTGTGTCGTGTTGGCACCTCGTGAATAGAGCCAAAAAATTTCATTCCTCTCTGTGTGCTCATGACTGGTCTGCAATCTCACCTGTGCAGGAAGTGACGACCATACAAGTCTTTCAGTTCTCAAGGGTAGTTGGGGGGCATTTTAAGCAACTAATAATTACTTATGTATAGTATAATGGCAAGATATTGCATGAATATATTTTTAGTCAAATGCACATGACATGGGTCATAAAGCCATTACGAAATGTCTTTGAGCCTGACCATGATTGGATATAATAATCTCAAACAACAAATAATTTCAACCATATTCTACTAAGTTCCAAAAATGGATCAGTCCACAAGATTCTCAGGAGATTTGATTAAGAAACTCGTAAAAATTTCTGAAACCTAAATTAAAACCATGCAAATAATTCAACCATGTCCCAGATATTATCATGTGCAATGCAATGATAAATTCACTATCATCACCACATATAGCATTATTATTAGCAGTCGTATTCGAATATACTAGAACAAAATGAGATGTTTTTGAAACAAACAAGAAGTTTGGAAAAACTTGCTTTATCCTAATTTGGGTGTCCATAAACAGAAAGATGGATGATGAAAAATGGAAAAATATTGTAGTAACAGCATCTCGAAGTGAGCCAAAAGAGTAACACTATACCTGCAAATAATGCTCCTACATTCCAAAATGTGCCCACCAATCTACACAAAACATAAGGGAAACTGATTACTTACAAGCTTTATCTCCTAAAAATGTGAATTGCTCCTCTATCTCTCTCTCATATATTGTCTTTGCACGGCTTGCTTGTATACGCTGCAACAAAAGCAAAAGACGAACAAGTAATTGTCAGATGAGCTGCCATAACAAAAAATTTTTATTAGCTCTATGAATAAAAAGACATAACAGCCAGATAATTCAGAATGTCCATATATAAATTAGTAAAATTAAAAGGGATTTTCTAGTTCTCCAGTAATGGAAGGTGTTTTAGAGAAAACAAATCAACATGACATTCTCATATCCAAACGGTTTGAAAAGTTTCACTTCCAACAAAATAATACTATTTTGATCAAAAATAATAATAATATTATTAAAAAAACAAAATAATATGAAATTAATTATTTGTCCTGTTATCCTTCAACACATACCAACTTCACTTCTCACATAACATATCTAATTTCAATAAAATTAAGGATTTTACTATATTAGTGGGTCCCATCTGCTTCAAATTGCATTTCGAGCATTCATAAAAAAAATTTAAACCTAATGCTTGGTCGCATCCTGGCCATTGATTGAGTAGTTGGTATATCCTGTAAGTACTCTCAAATTCAAAAGGAGCCAGAACCAGTGAAGAGCAATTAGATCATAAATTGTTTAACAAACCAAATCCCCATTGACCTCCACAACCGCAGGTGGTTTGTCCATTTTACCAATATTTCTTAGTAATTTCTTTATAAAGACTAATGTTTGAAAAAAAAAAAATTCTAGTTAGACGCTAACCACCTACTACTCAAGAAAAGAAGACCTCAAAGACTTAACCTACCATAACAACACAAAAACACCCTAACATTCAAATGTGTAAAGCCAAGTAAGTTCACTTCACCGGATAGAACATTTTATTTTATTTATATTTGAGATTTTTCCATCAGGCACACATAGCATATAAAAGGGGAATACTTATTGTATCTAATTTAGTGACCTTATTTGGTGAAATAATAGATCATATCTATTGAATTAATAGTAGATCTTAACTAATAGTGGAATTCTCTATCAATTTTATGACAGAAAATAATAAATTCACTAAATATGGCCACTAAATAAGGTTTATGTAACCATATCAAAACATCTACAATCCTATGTTTATTTATTTCAAAGATTATGGAAAGACTGCTCATTTATTTCAAAGGCCAAGAATATTAACTTCAATGAATGAAAGCAAGCAAAACATTTGAATGAAAATAAGAACCTAGGGTTAATAGGTACGAGTACGATTACTGAAGGGGACATATCGGGGCAGTGAAAAGACAATAATTCTCTTAACCACCTCTACTGCACTAGGAAATAAAGAGTAATATTGGATTTCCACAGCTAACAGAATAATATCACCCAATTCATGTTTGAAGTGTGAATCAAAACTTCAACATATAAATGCAAAATAGGAGTCGAAAAAGAGCAAAACGGAAAGAAAGAGACACGAGAGACTTACCCAGAACAAAAAATGGTTGAAAGAATAATCCTAGAAGGCATGAAAGGTCGAAAAGATATTAACAGAACGGACCAATATTGCTCCTACGCTCGTCGGTTCCAGTCGTCTCTTGCTTCTGTGGCGCCGGTGGTTGCTCTGGCTGTGGATGTAGCTGCTGATGCTGCAGCTGCTCTTGCTGAAGTAAAAACTGTGGATGAAGCTCAACCTGAAGCTGTTGGGAATGAGATTGCTCTTCTGGCTGTTCTTGAATCTGATAAGGGTTGCCGTAGGAGCCCAAAGCCAGGGACGTTGACAAAGCCGCTTCAGTCATCTGATTAAACCCAGTTGCCGTAGAAGGTCCAGCCCCAGCAGTATCGAACCCGATATTAAACCCAGTTGCAGTAGAAGGTCCTGCTCCAGCACTATCGAACCCGATATTAAACCCAGTTGCCGTAGAGGGTCCAGCTCCAGCACTATCGAACCCGATATTAGATCTCATAGGGTCAAGCTGCTGTGCCTGTTGCTGATATCGTTGCTGCTCATAAGCCCTGAGCATCTCCTGTTGCTGTCTCGCGGCCTCCACAGCCGCTAATTGCTGAGCATCTAGCACTTGCTGATCATAGTGATGTTGTTGCTGCTGCTGAGGCTCACCGATCATCAATTGAGTAGAAAGCGATGGCCCAGAATGTAATCCCAGCACCGATTGCACATTATAGGGCATGACCGAAGACGAAGGATTGTCGGGGTGTTGTTGCACAAACCCTTGATATTGAAGTATCGGAAACATCGCGGAGGGGCCAATGTAAGTTGCCAATTCTGTCTTGGCATTGTATAAACTCATATCGGACTTGCTTGAGCCTTTGTTGAAGGATTGAGATAAGTCCTACAGAGCCATAAATCGGGTTATGAAGTCGAGCTTGGGCTTCATATGCAAGGGAATTAGCGGCATCTTGGCGTTGCGAGGGGTGTAGTTCCCGAGAAGTTTGCCGACATTGCTTGCACCAAAAACCTTGTGGACACTGGCGAATTTGTCAGGCTGATTCGGTGGGAAACAGGGAGCAAATATACAATCCTCGGCGCACTTTCGCCGAAGGAGCTTACACGCCGCACATGGAGAGTTGGATGACGACATTTTCTTTCCTTTTATTCGTCAATACTGTATACATATTCAAGAGACAAAATCACGTTGCATCTGTGATAAATAAGCTTCTAAAAAATGAGAAAAAAATATTCAGACTTAGGAGACAAAAGAAACAAAGTACTCTCGGAGAGAGAGAGAGAGAGTTGCCTCATATAAGATAGGAAGCCGCTGAGGTTTGCTAAAATCTTCCATGGAAATAAACGATATAATATTGAACGAGAAGAAGGTTAGTAGCCATTACAAGCTTCGAAAATCGAAACCGACATGGTAAGTGTAAGTCAATAAACGATATATATAGAACGAACGCGATGATTTATATAAAGAAATCAGAAAGCCAAAAGAGAAAGTCAATCCTAGATCGTATTTTCAATCTTCCACGAAATCAATCGCACAAAAACCTCTTCTCATCTATCAAGAAAATATATGGAAAAACCAGCAATCATCACATTCTTCATTAAATTACCTTCGATTTTACACTTCAAACCTCTTGAAATCACACTAAAACTCTTCTTGCTTCTTCTTCATCTCCGCATGCAGATGTTTTCGTATTATCTGCAAAAAAAAAAAAAAAAAAGACGAATCATGACCGCTGAAAGAAAGAACCGTTCCTGTCAATAAAAACTGAAAGGAAATCAGAATGAACAGTGAATTCGAACCTTCGTTCAGAGGGGAGAGAGAGAGTAGAAGTCTAGGGTTTCGATCTTCAATTTTTCAACGATTCCAATCAAAAAGAAAGAGAAAATGCGAAAATCGTAGAATTCTTGAAACGAGAGTAGTCTGATAAGCAGTTAAAAATAAGAAGCTAGTGTAAATTTGTGGAAAGAAGAGAAAAAGGAAGGATCATTTCGGTGGACTCAACGCCATTTTTATATACCGTGCGTGCGTGTGTGTAATGTGTGTTGGGCCCGATGATGAGTGATAACTGATAACTTTCATTGAGAAGTAAGCAACAGTGTGGGGTCTATTTTCACCCATCAGATTTATAGAAAGATTTGTTTTGACCGTTAGATTATAATTGGGGTTCGGGGGAAGGGTGAATGCTACACGAGAGAGAGAGAGAGAGTCTGTACTCTGTACTATCTTTCATCTATTGACCTAATTGCCCCTTTTTTTAATCATAGAATTGGTATTTAAGATAAACCCTCTAAGTTCCAAAAAGTTACAAAATTGTCCTCAATCTTTTTAAGATAGAGTAAAAAGAAAAAACAATCTTGAATTTTGAATGAGTTGACTTTCCTCAAGTCTATCCATATAAACTGTATTATTAATTATCACCATCCTACAACCCAACCCCCCCTCCTCTCTAATTCTAATATCGCTGGGCAATTAGCTTTGAATGTGTTATAATATTTTTTTTTTAAATGAAATAGTTCAAAAAAACTAATTAAAAATTTAAATCTTAGTTTAAAAAAGTAGTAGGAGGAGTGATTACAAATGGCATATAAAACAATTTGGATTGAAAAGAGCTATTTAAATATTTAAAAATCTAGTAATTAAGTGTTTAGGGTGGAAAATCTTTTCAAAATCTCTCATCCCTAATTTAATTATTATTATTATTTAATGATTTGAGCTGTTGCTTAAGCAATTGTTTAATATCTAATTTGGTTATGCCTATTTGGTTTATAATTTTATAAAATAGTACCTAAGGCTGTCATATTATTTATTTCATAGACATTGATAACATATTATGATCATTTTAAGAAATCACAACCATAAAACTAAATAATTATTTCCCTAACCTTGAGAGTGGAGTGGATAAAGATTGTTACAACATTTCCTCATCTCCATCTATTCCCCCATTTCTACCTCTCACTCACATACACGCATTAGCGGCGCCCCGTGCGTTGCACGCTATTTTTAGTCTTTCTCATCACAATGTTATCACTCTTATTGTCACCGTCACCCCTTTGCTCTATTTGACTATTATTCTACTAAATTAAAAATGATAAAAAAAAATTCAAATTTAAAGTAATTTGTGGCAATACTCACATAAGGCACGAGAAATTATATAATTTGTTGAAATTAATGTATTGTTATTAGATAATTCAATATTATAAAAATCTTTTATGAGAACAGAAAGGCAAGGGTACTAGGGAGTTTGAATGGAGTTGGTAGTTTAGTCGGAATATATTTCTAAGGAAGTTGAGAACTAATAAAGAGAGTGAGAGACTATATTATATAAATTTAAATGAATTTAAAAAATAGAAAAGAGACTCAAAATTAGTATAAGATTGTCGTGCACTTAATCATGGGTTGAAAATCTTAATTTGGACCCTGTTAATAGATATTCAAGTGTTTGGCGGATAAATTAACAGTTCATCCCGTAACTATAAACACTACTTAAAGAAATAAGATTATTTGGTGTCTAAAAAAAAAAGGAGAACGCCTCAAAATCATCCTATCTGTACTTCTTTGGAAGTGATTTTTAGTTTCACTTTGTTTTTTAAAATTAGCCTTAATTTTTGTAATTAAATATATGTTTTACTCATGCTTCATAAGTAATTTACATATCTCAAATTATAAGATAGAAAACAAAAAAAAAATATATCGTACTAAAACACTAATTGTAGATAGACATGACTAGTTGTAGATAAACATTAATTCAAAAACACTTTTAAAACACATTTCTAAAAAAAAAAAATATATTATTTCAAAAAATTCATCTCAAAAAACTTATTTTAACTAGTATATTTTAAAGATGAATTTTTACTTTGAAACGTAATCCATGAAATTAAATGTGACTAATTCACAATAACTAATTTAATATTGATAAAGATAGCCAAAACATATAATCAAGGACTATAGATGTGATTTAGTTTAATTTAATTTAATTTATTTTTATTTTTTGAGAAGGGAGGATATAGATTTTCAAACACCCAAATTTTGTAACTAACTTTGGAGACAGTTTTGGCAATGGGCAGCGGTTGAAGGGCATATCAGTCAATCAAATTTAATAGCACATCGTTTTTTGTGATTCGCTCATTCATATGTCTTCAACCTACCAGTACCACCATCGTGCGCACGAGGCAGACCTTTCCAATAGTGTGAGAGAGGACTGGTACGGACGGACCATCTTGTGTTGAACTGTTGATGTTCCGTTTTTTGTTGGGTAATTTTACGATACCCAATTGGAGGTATTTTAGTCCACCACCAGAAGGACTGCAGGAGGGTTATGTTTTATTTTTGAACCTCAAGGGGGGTTTATGTGAATTTGAATCCATTTTGACTGAAGTTCTGAACCTTTTAGGGGACAAAATGAGACGGAAGGGAGAGTGGGAATGGGATGGTGCGAAGTGCGAACACTGGGACTGAGGAATGCTCATGACTGACTACTCAGTGAGACATTGCAGTGCAGTCAGTGTGTTGGTGAGCAATTGCGTGCAAAGGGTCTCATTCCATTAAATGCATACCCTGCCTCAGGTACAATAGTGGTTTATACACACCACTCACTCACTCTCTCTCTCTCTCTCTCTCTCTCTCTCACACGCACACCCACCCAGGGCCACACCTCTCTCCCCCAATTTTTTGTCTTTACTTAACACACAAAAGCATACTCTCAGTGGGAGGATGACTTGAGATGCTCATAGCCATGTAGAAAGAAGTAAATGCAATATCAAATCCACTTCCCTAATTTTTTTTCCAAAGTAAGTTTGATAAATTATGTTTAAATAGCAATATTATTTTAATTTTATATGAATTTGAACGGGTTGGGTTGTCTTCGTTTAACGCACTCATGCTTCAATTAAACTTATTAATTAATTATCTATACCAAATAGTTTAAATGCGGAGCTTATGAATATAAATCTTGTCTCTTATTCGACTATTGAACTAAATTAGTGTTCATTTGGCAAACACCTACAAATAAATTGGAAAATTTGGATAAGAGTAGGGTATCTAATTGGTGCCATCCTAAGATTTAGCTATATCCATTAAGTTTGTTTTGGATTATTTGAAATTATCGACATAAAAAATAAAAAATAAAAGTGTTGGAAAATAATTTTTTTTACATGTTTTGTTTTTTAAATAAATAAAAAGTGGAGATATAATACTAAAAAATTATTTTATTTTTTGAATATGATAATTGAACCATTAGAATTTTCATATTATAACTTGGGGATGGGGAAGATTATGATGTGCATGGATTTGACAATGAATATATTGTGGTAGCATCACTGAATTGAAGTTGAACCTGTCTGTTGCTCCGCTCATTTAGAGTCATTAACTCTTCTTCCCAATCCTCTTGTCTTTTTCCTCTCGAATATGTTAATTTTTCTTACAAAGTGTATAAACTTGAAGAGATTACTCTAAACTTAAAGAGATTACTCTCTTGAGCTCAGCAACTGTTATCGTAACTTGAACCGAGCAGCTATTACCATATCTTGAACTGAGCCAGAGCATGTTCCTCTTTGAAAAATAAGGGTCGTTGAACTTTAAAAAATGTGAGAAGGAATTAAATTTAAGACATTTGAATTAATAAAAACTAGACTTAACTATTGAAGCATCCTTAAGAAGTAAACATACGTTATATCTATCTATCTATATCTATATCTATACTACTTATAAATATTAGCATGTGCAAAAAATTTTTGATTTTCTATCTCACCCTTAATTATTACACTAAAGACAATCATTCCCACAAAATATAAGCTGGATAAACTTTATCTCTATGACTTCCAAATTTTTTGCTGGATAAACTTTATCATTAATATTCAAAATTTTTGCAAGAAATTCCAATTTTTTTGCAAGATAAATTTTATCACTATATATTAGTTAGATAAAATTAGATAGATAAACTTTATCTCTGACTTCTAAATTTTTTGCTGGATAAACTTTATCACTAATATTCCAAAATTTTTACAAGATAAATTTTGTCACTATATATTAGTTAGATAAAATTTATCTCCACTATGACTTGCCAATACATTCTTTTTTTCCATTCAATTTGATAAATTCAATTATAATTCTAATATGATGTGGAAAAAAATTGCTATTTTTTAAGATATAAACACAACTATCAAAATTCATTATTCATTGTTATATAATAAAAGATT